TTTTGGTCTGGTGTGTGTGTGTGTGTGTGTGTGTGTGTGCTCCTCACCTCCGTGTGTCTGTGCTGGAGCTCGGCTCGTCTCTGCTGGAGGATCTTCATGCTCCCCTGAACCTCCTGCCGTGTGTCCATCAGCTGTGTGTTCACCGCGTCCACCTCGGCGCGCTTCTTCAGGACTAGTGTGGTCTGCAGCGTGTGGACGCCGGTGTCCAGGATCCCGCTGGAGGACTGCAGCACATTCAGCACAGCATTAGAGACACCGCGCAGGTAACCCACACACCTGAGAGTGTCGACGCTCAAACACTCACCTCCGCTATCACCGGGATGTGCTTTATGTGCTCCTCGATCTGCTCTCTGTCGTGACAAAAACAGCACAGAAGCGCAAGCGTCAGTGACGGTAAACAAGCTCCCTGTCGTCCTAGAGTAACACGACCCGCTGTAACGTTACCTGTGCTCCTCTAGCTGCGTTACAAACACGTTTTTCTGTTTGTGTTCGACTTTCAGCTTCAGACGAGCGTCTGTTTTCAGAGCAGGTGAAGAGGCGGAATCCATGAGTGCTTTACGAGCAGCGCTACCGGAGAAACACAGATCTATATAATAATATAATCTATATATAATATCTATATAATGTTGTCTATTATAGATCAGTGGGCTCCGCTGAACTGAACGCGCTCCTCCTGTTGCTCGGAAACCGGACGCCCGCTGTTGTCATAGTAACTGAGCGGAAGTGTTCGAGTCGCGTCAGCAGTACTGGCCACACCATGCATTATCTTCTTTATCCGAGTTATACTTTATTTGCTTCTTTGAAGCACGCGAAACACACCTCAGCACGAAACTAATATCAGTTCTGTGGCTTGTAGTCCATGAGAGCAGCTTCTTCATGCACAGTATTCAGCAGAAGCTGTGTCATATTTTATTTATTTAGTCATTTATTAGACGCTTTTATCCAAAGCGACTTACAAATGAGGACAACAGAGTTATAAAAACTGAAACAGAAGTGAAACAAGTAATAGGAAAGAGGAGAGATAAAGAGCCATACTTATCCTCTGCCGGTGAATATATCACTCATATGTATCATATATATCAACAGTAGTGTACTTCTTTATTTTGATGACAGACTCAGATTGGATCCTGCTGCTATATTAATGCAGTTTGTTTCTCCGCTGCTCTTTGCTGGAGGGTTAGTTGTTCTGTCTTTCTATCTTTCTCGGGCTGCACACATGGCCAGGACAGTGTTCTTTCTCTTCTGTAGGAACTCTTGTGTGGTTCTGCACTCTGCTTTGGATCCTCTTCTGTCAGGCTCCAGCAGGCTGAAGACATCTTGTCAGCCATTATTTAGGTAAATCCACAGGCTCTCGTGGTGTGTCTATAAACACTCATCTCCTCACACTGCTGCTGTGTTTCTCTGACCCCTGACCCCTGACCCCTGAGAGGAGATATTTTGATTGCCAAGCACTGTACTCTCTTCTGTTGAATACAGTACGCTAGTTGATAGATTTCACTTTTAGCAGATACACACTACTGGTCAAAGTTTGGAATAATTAAGATGATTTAATGTTTCTGAAAGAAGTCTCTTCGGCTCAGCAATGCTAAAACAGTGAAATATTATTATAATGTAGAACAGCTGTTTTCTATGTGAATATCTGTTAAACTGTAATGTATTTCTGTGATGCGCAGCTGTATTTTCAGCATCATTACTGCAGTCTTCAGTGTCACATGATCTTCAGAAATCATTCTAATATGCTGATTTGCTGCTCAAGAAACATTTCTGATTATTATCAATGTTGAAAACAGTCGTGCTGCACAATATTTCTGTGGAAACTGTGATACACTACCATTGAAAATGTTGGAT